CAGCAGCTCGTCCATCTTCTCGCGCAGTGCGCTGAGTATCTGCGCCAGCCCGCGGGCCGGCCAGGGGCCTGGAGCCAGTGCTGGGTGCGGGGGCAGCCGCTTCTCGCTCGGTCGCCTCTACGGCTCCCGGCGCAGCTGCCTGTGGCGCAGCCGGAGCGGGAGTGTCAACGAGGCGAGCTGCCCCACGGAGCAGACGCGGCTGTCGAGCCAGGCCAGTATGCGGGACGACGAGGACGAGGACGACGAGGAGGAGGCCGGGCCACCGCCGCCCTACCACGACGCCCTCTACTTCCCGGTCCTTATCGTCCATCGTCAGGAGGGGTGTCTGGGCCACAGTCACCGACCACTGCACCGCCATGGCTCCTGCGTGGAGACCTCACTGTGACCTCCCGCTCTTGGAGGAAGCCTGCGCCATTCATTCTCCCTCCTGCACCTTGATGTGTTGTGCTCCCTGTGCGTAGCAGGGGAAGGCAGGATGGTGACAGAGGCCAGGCAGGGTACGTGTGAAGGCGGGAGGTGAGGGGCACGCCCAGACAAGACTCCAGTGGGCCTGAGACTGCTTCCCTGTACACAGACAGAGGATGGAGAGATTGGCAGCTCTCTGACAATCCCACTTACCGGGGTAGAGGTGGCTCTTTTTCAGTCCCCACCGAGTTCCTACGGGGACATTTACTTATCCATACGCACGCGAGGTCCCTCCCACCCCCAGGCTTTCATCGAGTCTTGAGCAACTATGATGTGGAACTCGTTTTTTTGGCCTCCCCACCATGGGAATCATCATGGCAGGCCTCAGGAAGGGCATTTGGGGCTTTTTTATTTTTTATGTTTGCTTCGCCCCACCCGAGTCCCTAGGGGCGGGGCGGTGGTTTGGTGAAGACCGGCTGGGCTGGTTTCCAACCACCCACTGAATGAGGCCAGCTGGCAGCCCAGTATTCCTCTCAACACCTTGAAAAAGTTTTGGCCTCTTGGCGCCGGTGGGTGAGGCTCGCTGGTTCCTTTCTGCCGCTCCCACCCCAGTTGTTTATTTCACTGCGCCCCAGAGGTCCAGTCCTGGAGGGACTTTTCATCACATCAATGACGTCATTCACCTCGGCGGGGGGGGGGGCTTACGGGCTCTGAAGAGCTGTTGTTAGGGTGCAGGGGGAGGGAAGTGAAGCTGGGGAGGGCACACCCCGGCCCTTTCTGGAAAAGACTCAGCCTCCCATCAGTCAGAAGCTTCCTCCCCTGGGTTCTCGGTAGGTGTTTCCATTAAGGAGGCTAAGGTGCCATCCTGGAGGCCCATTAAAGTTGGCCAGAGTGAGTGACCGTTTGGACTGGAGCTTGAGACGCACTTTGGTATCAAGAGAACTCAGGAGGCAGTGAGAGAAAGAGCGGAGCTGGTAGTGGTGGATGGAGTGAGACCAGCTCTGAAGGGGTGGTGGCACGGTGGAGCTTTTCCTCTCGAAGATGCTTAAGAAGTAGTATGTCCCGTATACATGCCTGGGTGCATCTATCACAAGCCCTAGCTGGAGAGGTAGGATCTCCAGTGGCAGGAGATCAATTTTTGCCAGACCCTCCACTTCCTCTTATCCTGTGAGCTGAAGTTCTAAGTCTTCAGAAGGGCATCATGCCACAGCCCCAGGACACCAGCCCCTGTCCTGTCCGTCCCTTCAAAGCTTTGACACCAACCTTGCTCTCCCACTCCCTCTGCTCCCTTAACCCCTCCACCCCACTGTACTTCATCGTGCATGTCTGTGTTTGGCCCTTTGCTCTCCCAGCTGCCCTGGCTGAAGTTTTCCAAGCAGACTTAGCGCCCAGGGACTGGGCTCACATCCATCCAGTCTTGCTTCCTCTGCTCCGTGCTTTGTCCTCACCATGAGAACGCCATCTTCTTGGCCTCCCCTCTTCCTCCTGGACATGCCAGGCCCACGCCAACCAATGGGAGTGGCCCCTACCTATGCAACATCTCTTCTGGCTCCCTGTTCCTTCTTCCCAGGGGGATGTGGGAAGCCCAAGTTGTGGGGATGCCGTGATCTATGGTTCAGACGGGGGTTGTACTCTCTAACCGTGTAGAGGTGGTTGGGTGAGGAGGGAGGGGTGGCGGAGGGGGAGAGGTCTGGACAGACAGAATCAGTGTAGCTGCCCACCAGGATTCCTGGACAGCAGTGTCCGCTGGCCTACCAGCACCGAGCCCTCTAGGACCCTGGGTCTGAGTTTGTCCTTGTGTGGGGGTAGCTTGGCTGTTGGAGCACCCTGCTTTCTCTTGAGCAAGACATCTGTTGAAGCACAGGTGGTGGGGGAGCTGTGGCCTTGGGCCCCAGTTCTTGGCCAGCTGGCACCTGAATGTCTTGTTCTCATTTAGGGGCAGCCTGGGTACCTCACAGCCCCAGGGAGGGAAGGACTTGGCTCAGTCTCTGCCATGCTGGGCCCAGAGACAGAGCTCGGCCTTGGGAGAGGAGGAGGGGAAGTCCTGCTATTATTTTTGCCTGACCATTTCTGCCTAGGTCTTTTCATACAGACAGCCTCACCTCCCACACACGCACAGACTTAGAGAGAAAGCAATTCTTTGGTCTCTTTTCTTGGTAGCTTTATTGATTGCCAGGGAAAATGAAAACCAGAAAATTAATTAATCTCTAAAATTAAACTTTACACTGAATGTTCTTGTTTCTCTAATTAGAACCTCTGCTAGCAGCTGTGGCTACACACACACATACAGACACACGCACCCTCACACCTACATGTTTGCACTCTGGAACTGTCAAGAGGGTGTCAGGCACAGATGGCTCTAGGTTGCCCGGACAGGCACACACATAGGCACTCCCAAGTCCCCTCTGGTGCTCTGTCCGTGTCTGCTTGCTGCAGAGTCCCTGGAGCACTGGCCCCCCTGGATTGCAGTTGCAGTTCAGTCAGCCGTCTTTTGGCAAGGTGGGCTCTGGGCCACTCAGCTCGAGGAGAGTTGGGAGATAAGGGCCTTGACCTGAATGGGTCGGTCAGATCCTCTCACGGATCCATAGGCTGAGGTGGTTCCTACGGGTGTAGCCCCAGGGTGGGCAGTCCCAGAGAGACAGGGACTCGTGGAGGGTACTTGGAAGACTGTATGTCCTGAGGATAAGGGCTTGTGGGGTGGGCTGGGCCTGGCTCGGGAGAAGACAGAAGAGTTCTGTCAAACTGGGTGCATCACACTGTGGCCTTTTTGTCATGGAATTCCAAGCGCAAAGATTGTACAAATCACACTGGTGGATAATAAAAGTGTGGATGACTCACTGATCCTCTCCTCGGAGTGATGCTTATTCCCTGTCCTTGGTAGGAGGTCTCTGTCTGAGCCCCTCTGTCACTTGTTACCCCTTCCCAGCTTGAGAATTAGTGATGATGCCATGTGTAGAAGTGGGGCACACCAGGATGGTGACAGGCAGGTGGCATCTTCAGGCAGGGTAGGAGAGCAGAGAGAGACAGGCTTAGCTTTGTCCCCCACCCCCCACTTTGTGTGTGTGTGTGTGTGTGTGTGTGTGTGTATGTGTAGACTGAGATCAGAGCTCTTGGGTCTGCTTAGCAGAAAGGGAAAGGGTGGGCTGAGTTGAGGTAGATGTTGTTCATGAAGAGTTTGGGCAGGGAGACTCTCTTTAGAATCCTTTGCCTTCCCTGTTCCTGGAAGCTGATCATTTATGCAGGTCTAGTTAGTAATGGCCACTTCCGGGTGCAGGAGTTAGCTTACCCTCTCTTTATCCTTAGGCTCCCTTCCCTACCTCAGCATCTTCATACGTACAAACTTATTCTAAGGAGATTCGCGATCCCCTCTTCTCCCTCAGACCCAGGGACAGCCATAGCAAGGGTGTGAGATGAAGGGATGGCTGTTACAGGGACCCATCAGATCACTGTTCAAGCCCTGTCCCCCCATCTTAGCCCACGGGATTCTCATGACTGTTGTTAGTGATGGGTGTCATGAAGTAGCCAGGACTCAGGGTCCGCTGGCGGGCGGCCTCTCGGTTGGCATGCAGAGCCTGGCCAATGAGGTACTCGCTCTCCTGGGATACATCTGACAGACGCAAGTCAAACTCCAGGATGGTCTTGTTGTCTGACATGCCTTCCAGGAGCTGCTTCCCGCCATCCTGGGGAGGGGAGAAGCAGAGGGATCATTTTTTATTATGTCCCAGGATCACATGGACACACACACACTTTCATACAGATGGGATACACATGTAGCCCATCTGTTTGGGACATGGATTTGGGAGGTTGGCTCAGTGGGGCAAGCATGAGGACTGGAATTAGGGTCTCCAGAACCCATAGAAATGCTGAGTGGGCATAGCAGCCCACGTGTAATTCCAGGGAGAGACAGGACCGTCAGAGCAAGCCAGCAAGCAAGACCAGTCATTTCAGAGAGCTCTGGTTTGCTTGAGAGACCCTGCCTTAGTGAATATGGTGGAAGAGCAAATGAGGATGATCTTTGACCTCAACTTTGAGTGTTCACATGCATGCACACACGAGCACAGGCAAAAACAGGTATGCATGCATGTATATTGCAGACACGTGAAAACACATGAAAAGGAGAAAATGGATGCTGGAGTGCAGACGACAGACAAGAACACAGTCTCTATGCAGTCCACCGCACAGTCTAAAGCTTTCCTGCAATGGTCTACTTTAACTGGATCCCACCCCATGCCCGCCTGTGCCAGAAGCGGTGACTCACCAGCCCAATGTGGTTGCAGGAGAGGTTGAGGTTGATGAGTGTGGTGTTGACGGGGAGCACCTGGGACAGGAGTGTGGCTGTGGGCTCAGACAGCTCATTGCCTCCGAGGTGCAGCGTGGTGAGGCACTTGTTGGTCTCCAGGGCGTGGGCAATTGCTTGGCCGCCCTCGTCCTCGATGCAGTTGAGGTGGAGGTTGAGGGAGACAAGGTTGGTGTTGTGTGCCAGGGCATGAGCCAGCGACTGGGCACCAGGCGCCCGCACTTGGTTATTGGCGAGGTTGAGCACTCGCAGGCGACTGTGGCTCAGCAACTTGGCCGCTGCTCGTGCGCCACGGTCTCCAATGAGGTTGTGGGACAGGTCCAGCTCCTCAAGGGCTGGGTGGTCCAGCAGGCTCCGGATTAGGATACGTGCCTTGTCATCATCCACCTTACTTCGGGTCAGCCTGAAGACCTGTGGGCAGGTAGGAGTGTCTACTGGCATCTGACAGTCTGGGATAGCCTGGACTACCTAACTGCCCTGTGCTGGTAGGAAGGAGGATGCAAGGTGACTGGAGGCTCAACATTTGGTGTTGGCCACCTGCCTGGCTTTTAAATGGGAGGAAGATCTACCCAACGATACAGAATTGGTGGCAGGTGGCAGTGGGGAAGGGTGTCACCGTGGCCAGCCCAGTCTATGCTTTCTGCATTCTTTTGACCAGGCTACTGACAGCGGAAAAGCTCACCTATGGCACTGGTTGGCATCACAGAGCCTTGCAGTGTGGTGTGCCAATCCAACCGTGTTTCTCTGGACAACAAATTCTCTTATAATCTGTGACGAGTTCAACCTTTCCTGCCTCCTCACGCGCTAGCATCCCCACAAGCTTCCTTTCCGCTGATGGCCTCTCTTCTCTTCTCCTGGCCACTAAACAGGACCCGCCACAGCAATCCACCGCATGCCGACCGCCCCACGTCAGGTTTCAGTCCCAGCTGAGCCGTCCCCGAGCCGCGAGCCTCTCTCCTATATATAACTGATGATTTTTCTTGCTGACAGATTCAGCATGAAGTACATACAATTTCTTCTCCAGACCCAGATCCTCAACTATTCCAGCTCTGTTCCCCACTTCACAATCAAGCTCTTCACAAAACGATCACAGCCACCTTCTTCTTCCTCACTTCCCACTCCCTCCGTATCCACAGCTGCCCAGCTTCTGCTTCTGGCACCCATTGAAGTACCACCCTCCCAGGGACCTCCATCCTACCCTATGGTTCACTCCTGCTGTTTGAAACGTGCCTCTGTCTGTGATCTGTGACACCATGTCATGTCCTCTCCACTCCTCCCTCTGGGATCTGTGACAGACACCATGTCATGTCCTCTCCACTCCTCCCTCTGGAATCTGTGACAGACACTATGTCATGTCCTCTCCACTCCTCCCTCTGGAATCTGTGACAGACACCATGTCATGTCCTCTCCACTCCTCCCTCTGGGATCTGTGACAGACACCATGTCATGTCCTCTCCACTCCTCCCTCTTTTCTCCAATATCACATGCCAGGCTTCTCTTTGCTCTTCCCTTTGGCTCTTCCTTCTAAGACTCCATCCAAGTGCAATGTCACACTTCAGACAGCTCAGTTTCGACTCCTTCTCCCAGCCTCACATCCCCTATGCAGCTATCAAGATGATCTCTGCTTTGGGCCACCGCAAGCTGAAACTCATGCTTCCCCCCTCAGAAGGGTCCTCCTGTTCTATTCCCTGTCCGCCTGTGATTCCTACAGCAGCTGGTCTCGTGAGAAGGGGCCTCGACACCTCTGCGTCTTCCTTCATGTTTCTATCTTCCTTACCCCATAGTGGCGGGCGACCTGACTGTGTATCTCTCCAGATTCTTTGCTTCATTCCTCTTTTCAGATATGACGGTGGCTCTAACTCACCTCATTTGGAGAGGGGAGGGGATGGGGACACCACTTAGAGTCATCTGAGAAGAGGTACTCGCTGGAGGACCTACCTAGATCAGATGGGCTGGGAGAATGCCTGTGTGGCTCTGTCTTGGTGGTTAATGATGTAGGAGGGCCCAGCCCACCGTGGGCAGCACCATTCCTAAGCAGGTAGTCCTAAGCTGTATGAGAAAGCTAGCTGAGAGGCTGGAGAGCTAGCCCTAGTGGGTCAGAGCCGTACTGCTCTTGGAGAAGACCAGAGTTCAGTTTCTAGTACCTACATTACGTGGCTGATAACTCCAGCTCCAGGGATCCTGATACCCTCTATTGGTCTCAGTGGATCTGAACTCACGTGAGTGTACCCTCTCGTACATCTAACTCATAATAATAAAAAAGAAAGCTAGCTGAGTAAAAGCTGGTCTCCAGGTCAGCTTGCAAGCAGCAGTCACCTGTCACTTCGTGCTGGACTTCTTTGGCTGTGAGGGAGTTCCTTGGTTAGAGGCAGTGCCATGCGGAACAGCAAGCAGACCTTCCTTCACGTCCCTGCCTTGACTTCCTTCATTGGGGACTGTGACCTGGGAGTGGAAGCCAAATCCCTTTTCTCCCCTAAGTTGTTTGGCTCAGAGTGTTTTTTTAATCATAGCAACACAAAGGACACGAGAACAGTCTTACATAGCTCAGGCTGACCTTGGACTTGCTATCTAGCCAAGGACAGCCCTTTAGCTTCTGATCCTCCTGCTTCTGCTGGGATCACAGGTGTAGGCCGCCACACCTGGCTTATGAGGTGCATGCTAGACAAGCGCCCTGCCAACTGCGCCATATTTCCAGCCCCAACCCTCAACTTTATCTGCACTTGCAATGGTCTCCTAGCTGACCAGCTGTGTCTACTGTGGCTCTGCCCAGCCCATTCTCTTTCATAAGCACAGTCCAGTACCCTTGGATGGCACTTTACTTTGGATGAGGCAAACAGCCCCCTTGCCCACCCCCACAAAGATCCCTGTGCTAAAGCTTGGTCCCCTTTGTGAGGCTGAGAGATGCAGCCTGATGGAATGCAGCTAGGTCACTAGGGACACTGCCCCTAGAAGAGACCAGGAAGGCTCTCTTGGGAACCAAGTTCTTGCAAGAGTGCCTTGCTTGCTCCCTTCTCCCTGCTTTCCCACCATTAGTGCAGTGGAAATACTCGTACTTGCACTGTGTGGTCTGTGAGTCCTTTCCACCGCTAAGATTTAAGCCAACTATGCTTCTCCCTCTCTCTCCCCATCGCCTTCATGTTTCTGTTTTATTAAAAACAATATTTTTAAGTGTGTTACCCGTGTGTGTCTTTGTGTGGGTGTGTGGGAAGCAGGAAGAGAGAGTCAGAGCCCCCAGAGCTGGAGTTACAGGCAGTTGTGAGCTCATGTAGGTGCTGGGAACTGAAACCGTGTCTTCCGCTAGAGCAGTATGTGCTCGTAACCACTGAGTCACCTCTTTATTTTCTGGGGGACAGAATTTCCTGTAGTTCAGGATGGTCTCCACTTCGCCATGTAGCCAGGAATAGCCTTGATCTTTCAACCCTCCTGTCCAACTGTGGAATGCTGGTATTACAGGCATGTTATAACACACTTGGTTCATTCTGAGCCGGTGATCCAACCCAGGGCTTCATGCGTGCAAGGCAAGCACTCTAGCAACTGAGCCCCACCCGTATCCCAAATGTTTTTATTTTTTATATTTTGGTGCTGGGAATTGGATCCCGAGACTCATGCCCGCTAAGTATGGACTCTGATCTCTAGCCCCAGACTGAGCACGTTACACGTTACACGTCACTACAGGTCTTGTCACTGTGGTAGCAGTGAAGGTAGGTGAAGGTAGGTGAAGGTAGGAAGGTAGGTGAAGGAAGGAAGTGGTTATTGGGCTCCAGTTTCAAAGGTATGGTTTATCATGACGGGGAAGCAACATCAAGCTGCTGGGCTCTGTGAAAACCTTGAAAGAAGTGCAAAGTCCCCAGCTCCCCAGCTTTGCCGTCAGTCCTCAGACTGACAGCATCAGGCCCTGTCCCAGGTGCTGAAGATGCAGAAAGACGCGAAATTGCATCATTTGTGCCCTGTGGAGCGAGCAGTCTGGCGGGATGAAAGGCACTAATGAGCAGCGATATAAATGTAAAATTGCAGCTAGGCTACGACTGCCAGATTTCACAAATAGAAACACAGGACGTCCAGTTAAATCTGAATTTCAGATAAAAGCCACAGTGTTTGGATGTGTAGCCTGAACATTCCATGGGACATAGCTGATGTCTGATATTCTCAATATAACCAGTGTGTTGGATAATATCACCAACTTGACAAGATCTCGACTAAGCCAGAGATGAACCTCTGGGCATGTCTTTGGGGGGGGATTATCTAGTTAAATAGCTAACTAAATTACCTAGTTGGACTCCTCCCCCTTTTGCCCTTTGAGACACAGTTTCTCTGTGTAGCTTTGGCTGACCTGGAACTCACTCTGTAAACCAGGCTGTCCTCAAACTTACAGATCCCCCTGCCTCTGCCTCTTGAGTGCTGGGATCAAAGGCGTGCACTATCATGGCCCAGTTCATCTAGTTAAACTTTAACTGTGGGCAGGGTCCTGGATTGACTAAAAGGAGAAAGTTGAGTACCGCTACTCCATGCCCTTGGCTTCACCAGTTCCCCAAACCCCTGCCACCATGGCTTCCCCGCCATGATGAACCATGTCTTTGGAATGGTAGCCAAACAGCTGCTTCCCTCTTTAAGTTGCGTCTGCAAGACGCTTTAACCACAGCGACAAGACAAGTGAGTGACAACGAGCTATCCTGCTGTAGTAGTGCTTTTTAACTTTCTCCAGCAGCAGGGGCCAAGCCCGGGGCCTCACACGTGCTAAGAACACTCCTTGGCTCTGAGCTGCACCCTTGTCCCAGGCGGTTTTCATTTTGACCAGTCCTCAGCATCACATAGACCCAGCGTGGTGTGTGCCTGTAATCCCCACACTTGGGTGTGTTTGTGTTACTAACGTGCATGTGTGTGTGTCTGTTATGTACAGTGGAGGCAGGAGGATAAGAAATTCAAGGTCATTTTCAGCTACCAGTGAGTTCCAGGCCAGCCTAAGCTATATGAGACCCTGTCTCAAACAACAACAACAACAACAAAAAAACCCCAAACCCCCAAACACTGTTCCCCAAAACCCAAAGATCTAAACAATCTCCTCTTCTATTGACAGATGAGAATGAAATGGGAGAAGATGGCAGGAAGTGGTGGGGAGAAGCCATCCTAGGGGTACTGAGAAGGGAGGAAGGAGAGCTGGGGGGGTGGTACCTTGAGGGTGTGGCAGGCTCTGATGGTGGCTGCCAGGGAGTGGCAGTCTCGAAAGGTGAAGAGGAAGAGGTTCCACTCGAAGTTCATGCCGCAGTCCTTGACGCCGTACACCAGGTCCAGCTCCTCCAGGTGCTTGAGGCCAGCCACCAGACTCTCCAGCTGGTAGTGGTCCTTCTCAGGCTCGCTCCCCTCCCCCTCGCTGCCAGAGTCGGACTGTTCGTCAGCCTGGGGCGGGGTGGGCAGCCTCACAGGTGGGAGGAACTGATCCACTTGGATGCGGCGCACGTAGTTCCTGCAGAGGGGCAACAGGTCCAGGATCACATTGGGGTCCGTGGTGCCCGGAATGAAGAGCTTCAGCAGGTTCTCCAGGTGTCTCTCAAAGAACATACGCTTCCAGCTCCCGCCGTGCTTGGCCACGTGGCACACGGACCAGCGCTTGATGCAGCAGCGGTGCCAATAGTTCTCGTCATCGATCAAGTTGGCAGTCACCGTCAGTGGCAGGTCATGGGGCAGGTGGCTCAAGACCTTCTGTTGGTGCTCTGGGAGCAGCTGCTTCAGGATAGGGTTGTCTTTGGGGGTGGAGGAAGAAAAACAGGGTTCAGCCACAGGGCTGGGAATATCACAGCATGATGCCCTGGGCTGTTTTGCCCAGGGACACTGAGGAAATGGAAGGCCCTTTGTGCTCTTGGGAACTTTGCTCTGAGAGGAGAAACAGTCTCTTAAACAGACACTCTTTAGGGTTCTCTTGCCTGCCGGTTATTGCACTGGGCAGTTTCTGGTCTCAAGCTAACTCACCTGGAGAAGAATGGACAGAATCTCAGGATCAGATCCCAGTGTATTTTCTAGTCTTTTGGGAGAGACAGCCGACTTCCGGGACTGACTCCCAGTCCGACTTCAATCATTCATTTCAGAATAACTACATGTACTCTAACACCTACTATGTGCCAGATGATTCTGGGGGAAATGAGGGAAGCATGGGGCCAGGAAGAGGGGTCAGTGAGTAAACCATGCTTACTGAGAGAACCGGTGGCCTGAAGTCCAGAACTCACGCAGAGGTGGAGGGAGAGAGCTGACTGTGCAAGGCTGTCTTCTGATCTCACACATGCACTGTGTTCTGTGTTGAGTGCCCTCCCACCCCCACCTCCCTTTCTCTCTCTCACACACCAATATATTTTAAAAAATGGCCAGGGAGTGGTGGTGCGTGCCTTTAATCTCAACACTCAGGAGGCAGAGGCAGGTGGATCTCTGTGAGTTCAAAGCCAGTCTGGTCTACAATTCAAGTTCCAGTACAGCCAGATCTATTACACAGAGAAACCTTTTCAGAGAGAGAGAGAGAGAAAGAGAGAGAGAGAGAGAGAGAGAGAGAGAGAGAGAGAGAGAGAGACTTGGTCTTGGCCTTGTCTCCCTTTTGAAGTTCATATTTAGCTTGCTGGGGCACATGTCCAATAAGCAGCAGAGGAACATGTTACATTAGGTGGCCAGTCCTCAGGAAGCTTGTCCCATAGAGTAGGAGAGGGCTGCTACTTTTCTCTGGAAAAAGTACACTAGGAACCCATCTGCATCTTGGAAGACTCTAGCAGATGGGAGATGAGAACCAGAAGCTTCCTGGAGGAGGAAAAGAGGATGTAGCTAAGACTGAACTTTCAAGAAAGAGCAGACATGACTAGAGAAGATCAAAAGTATGAAGGGCACAGTGTGTGTGTGTGTGTGTGTGTGTGTGTGTGTGTGTCTGGGGTGGGGACAGCAGAAGACACCACTGGTACTGGATGGCAGTGAATTTGAGAGTGCTTCCAGGTGGTACGGGAGAATTGTCTGTATTCTGTCAATCATGTATTTTAATAAAACGCTGATTGGCCAGGCAGGAAGTATAGGCGGGTCAACCAGACAGGAAGTATAGGCGGGGCAGTGAGAACAGGAAAAGGCTAGGAAGGAGGAAGTCCATTCCTCCATTCCTGCCCAGATCACCGAAGAAGAAACATGTGAGCTGACAGCTGAAAAAGGTACCAAGCCATATGGCTAAAATAGATCAGAATAATGGGTTAAGATAAGTCATAAGAGCTATTAAGTAGCCTGACCTATTGGGCCAATCAGCTTTATAACTTATAGAGATCTCTGTGTGATTGATTTTCTCTGGGACTTGCCGGCTGTGGGGTACCAGGCGGGACAGAAACCCCAACAAGCCGGCCCTCATGTTACATCCAGGCCTGGGTAAGATGGTCCCCCCTCCTCCAGCCCAGGGCAGATGAACTCACTCTGGAAGTTCTTGACAATATGTTGAATGCAGAGTTCTGTAAGGAGTGGTACAATGGCCAGAGACCACTCTGCGTCCTCGGAGATGATCCGGCGCATGCGCCGTGCATTTGTGGTCTTGGGCTTCAGGTGCACTGGGGTAGGGTTTGGTGTAGTCTTCAAGGGTGGTGCCCCTGAGCCGGCACCACCTGCAGTGGAGGTCTGGCGCTGGACGTTGAATGTGGACTGATTCTGAGACTTGGAGCCGGATGCTGCTGCCGGGCTGTCCTGCATATCGGCTGCGAACGAGGCAAGGGCTGAAAGCCCTTTGGCAACTTGTTACAGGAAATTTCTTCAACTGGAAAATCCTTGACGCAGGCAGGATACGAGATGGGGGTCGTGGCTTGAGCAAAAGGGAGCGGGACAGTGTTACTTAGGGGGATTTAAGTGGCACAGAGTGGTGCTTACATGTCAGTTTCTGGAGCTGAGTCGACACGTGAGAATCTAAGACTGGCAGTGTGGCTTTGGGCAAGTGAGCAAATGCTCTGGATTTCAGATGATGACCCTCTGTGAAGTGAGGGCCATAGCTATCTATAGGATTATTAGAGGAGTTGATAAAAATAACATATTCAAAGGGCCACAGTGTATGCAAGGATGCAAGGAATAGCTCCGAAGTTTAGAAAATACTTGTTAAGCATTAAGTCATTCCTGTACTCTGGTATTCATTTTGGATATTGACTCATTTATCACAAAAAGTGGGAGCGGGGGAGATGGAGAGATGGCTCTGAGCAGTTAAGTGCAGTTAAGAGCACTGGCTGCTCTTCCAGAGGACCCTGGTTCAATTCTCAGCACCCATGTGGCGGTTCACAAACATCTGTGACTCCAGTTCCAGGGGATCTGACACCCTCACATAAACATACATGTGCAAAAAATACCAATGCACATAAAATTAAAATAAATAAAAAAAGTTTTGGAGACAAGAATTCATTCTTTTCATCATTTTTCCCCGTGATGGGTAACAAAGCACAGAGAGGTCATTGAACACTGAACAAGAAGGAACGTATTTTTATTTTCTAATGTGTGTGTGTGTGTGTGTGTGCGTGCGCGTGCGTGCGCACACGCACGCACCTGTGTGCACAGAGGCCAGCATTGGATTCCCCTGGCACTGAAGTTGCAGGAGTTGTGAGCAACTGACATGGCCCTGAGGCTGAGAACTGAATTCAGTCCCTCTGCAGTAAGTGCTCTTAACCAGTGAGCCACCTCTCCGGTCCAATCATGTTGCGGATTGTTCCTGTATTGCCCCTCTAAGGGTGAGCAGGACGGAGGATACAGAATGCCCGAGGAGAGAGCTGTAGTGAGCAGCTGTCTAGTTCCCTGTTCCTGGTGACGTGACTGAGAACACTGGCCAACAGTGTTGGGTGCAGGCCTCATATACTACTTTATATTTATTTATTTTGAGGCAAGGTTTCAGGTTTCCAATGCTGGCCTCCAAGTTTCTATGTAGTAGAAGATGGCCTTGGACTGCTGATTCTTCTGTCTGTACCTCCCAAACACTGGGGTTACATCATCATTGTGGTCATACGTCATCACACCCAGGATTACATCATCAGTGTGGTCATACGTCATCACACCCAGGGTTACATCATCAGTGTGGTCATACATCATCACACCCAGGGTTACATCATCAGTGTTGTCATACGTCATCATGCCCAAGGTTACATCATTAATGTGGCCATACGTCATCACATCCAGGGTTACATCATCAGTGTGTCATACGTCATCACATCAAGGGTCACATCATCAGTGTGGTCATACGTCATCACACCCAGGGTTACATCATCAGTGTTGTCATACGTCATCATGCCCAAGGTTGTTACATCATTAATGTGGCCATACGTCATCACATCCAGGGTTGTGTCATTGGTGTGGCCATACGTCATCACATCAAGGGTTACATCATCAGTGTGGTCATATGTCATCACCTCCAGTGAAACTAGCACTGCGATGGAACCCAGGACTTCATGCTCAGATCAGGCAAACAGTCTACCAACTCAGTCATACCCCAGTACCTGTCTTGAAACTTCCTAGCATTCACATTTAAAGAGTAAACAGAGGGGCTGGAGAGATGGTTCAGCAGTTTGATTCCCAGCACCCACATCATGGCTCACGACCTTCTGTAAATCCAGAACTAAGAAGAACCCCTTTTCCTGTCTTCCAAGGGCACTTGGCAAATGTGGTGCATGGACAGCATGCAGGTAACATACATATATAATAATTTTTATGTTGTTTCATTTTCTGAGACAGGGTTTCTCTGTGTAGCCCTGGCTGTCCTGGAACTAGCTCTTGTAGACCAGGCTGGCCTTGAACTCACAGAGATCCTTCTGCCTCTGCCTCCTGAGTGCTGGATTAAAGGCATGTGCCACTACCAGTGACTAAAACTTTTTAAATATGGAAGAAATAAAGGCTTAAGTAGAGCTGGGGGTGTGGCTCCACAGCCGAGCTTGCCTACCACCCCCAGCTTTAAACAAACAAAACAAATCCCAAACCAAAAAACCTACAAAAAACCAAACCAAACAAAACAACAAAAAACCCCAAACAGGTGAAATTAATTTTATAATTAACCCAGTGTACCCAAAATATTATCATTTAAATGTGTAATCTGTGTAGTTTGTTTTTATATTTTAATTTATCAAGTGTACATATGTGTCTGCACACAAGGGTGTGAGTGCATATGGATGCCCATGGAGCCAGAGCTGGTGTCAGATCCCCTGGGGCTTGAGTTTGGGTGTGAGCCACCAGATGTGGGTGCACTGGCCCCGATGTGGGTCCTCTGGAAGACTAGTCAACAAGCCCTCTGAACAGCTGGCCATCTCTTCAAACCTTTGCATAAAGGTTTTGAATGGGAAGAACAGGTCCCTGTCTGTTCACATCAAATCAGAACCTGTGGCCTCCATTCAGAAGGGAATGAGAAGACACAAGCCTGACCAGAGTGTCAATGCCTCTCCTCACACCCCTCACTCGCAGCTGGCTCCTTCTTCAGTCTCCCCTCATACCAGACGGTGGCAGGCAGGCGTGGGAGGCGAGAAGGCAGCTAAATTTGGGCCTGAAGACAGAAGACCAAGGACGCTGTCTGGGTCTGGGGGGACCTTCCTGCTGCAGGCACCCTGCCGGCGACCTGGAGGCAGTACAGGGGAGTTTGGCTCTCTGCCTATTGTGGGGAGCTTTCCTTTGTGCTGCAGGGAGTGTGGCTAGTGAGAGGGAGCACCCTGCTCCAGCAAAGGCATCCTTGGCAGAGGGAGGGACCAGATGGAACTCCCTAGCCTGCCAGGCAGCTCAAGGAGGAAAAGCCTGGGGAGAGAAGCACTGCAGGAAAGACACTGCTGTACTGTGTTGCCCTGTATGCAAATCAAATGCAAATTCACAAACCCTGTCCATCTTCAACTAAAGCCTTTAATCCCAGCACTTGGAAGGCAGAGGCAGGTGGATCTCTGTGAGTTTGAGACTATTTGTGACTCTCTCAAAAGAAAAACAAAGGACAGGGCTGAAAGTGGGTACTATTTACACAGTTTCTGACTTGCTATGTGACCTTAGCCAAACTGCGTAACCTATTCGGACTTCAATTTCTTCCCTTATCTGTAAAATGGGATAATAATGTCTTCCTATGTCGACCTCTGTGCAGATTTCTGTCTAGAGCGCGGAGATGCGACCTCAAATGGATGTCAGGTTTCTGAGACTTGTCCCTATCTCTACAAAAGAGGTGAAGGGCAAAGGGTCAGTGGTGACCTGGGAGTTGGAGGCTGGAAGGGGCTCAGAGGCAACACGTTAGGCCCCTCCTGCCAGGCCTGCATCTGGACTCCTGACTTCTTCAGGCCTAGAACGTCGCATGATTCCCTAGGATACCCGTGGGCCACACAGGAACCCAGGAGCAAGCGTGGCAGGAAAACCCAAGTTCCTGGCAGGTGTAGCTTTAGAGTTGGGGTTTCAGGCATCATCCACCTGCCACTAGTCCCACTAGCCTGGGCATGGTCCTGCTCCTTCTTCCTAGGAGGCCGCATCCCAGCTGGGGCCAGTTTTGAGCCCCTCAGTGCTGCTGTCTTTTACTCTGGGTTTCAGGCAGTTCTTCCTTAGTTCTAGCTCTAGTTGCTTTTGCTGCTGTTTTGTACTTGTAGTCTGCCTCTGGCAGAGGTCACAGAGCAGCGCATGGCCCTAACAAATCTCTCAGGAGAAGGGGTAGAGCCCCCTACCGCCATGGCTGCTGCAGGTTCAGCTGACATAACAAGAGCCCCTGCCAGCCTTCCATGTTTACAAAAGTACCCATGCCCTGGGTCTGATGTCTTCTGGTTATTTATTTATTTATTTTTAATTGTTTTGAGACAGGGTCTCACTTTGTGGCTCTGGGTGTCCTGGAACTCACTGTGTAGACCAGGCTGGCCTTGAACTCACACACACAGCTCTGCCTACCTTTGCCTCCTGGGTTCTTAGATTAAAGGCATCAACCATGCCTTTTTTTTTTTTTTTTACTTTTCTTTAATTTTTAAAAATTTTTTTTGCCTGATGCCATTTTTAAGGCAAATGTTGAAAACAATTACATTATAAGGTCAGAGTTGACCATTTTCATTTAATCTCCCTTTGATTGTTTTAAATTATATTATTTGTAATATGGAGATGAAATATAGGGTCTTGCAAATATAGCAGCCAAACATTCTACCACTGCGCCATGCCCTCAACAACCACCTTCTTCTTCTTCTTCTTCTTCTTCTTCTTCTTCTTCTTCTTCTTCTTCTTCTTCTTCTTCTTCTTCTTCTTCTTCTTTTTTCTTCTTCTTCTCCTCCTCCTCCTCCTTCTCCTCCTTCTCCTTCTTCTCCTTCTTTTTTCTTTTGAGACAGGGTTTCTCTGTGCAACCCTGGCTATCCTAGAACTTATTGTGTAGACCAGGCTGGCCTCAGACTTGCAGAGATCCGCCTGCCTCTGCCTCCCAGGTGCTGTGATCAAAGGTATGTGCCACCACCGCCTGGCTTTATTTTTTATTCTTAAACTCACTCTGTTACCTTGAACTTCCTATCTCTCTGTGGACACCTCCCCAGCAGTTGGAATCACAAACCCGCCTTACCAGACTTGGCTATGAAGAGATTTTTAACAGAAAATGATTACCAGGCACAGCTGGGTCCGGTGGTGCAGGCCTGTAACCCCTGCTGCAAGGAGGCCGTGGGAAAAAGATTAAAAATTCAAAGGTCAATCTGGGCAATTTAGTAAGACTCAGCTTAGTGATAGAACATTTGCCTAACATGTGTGAAGCCATGGACTCAAACCCTAATATGCCAAAAATAGATAAGATCAAATAACCAAACAGAGAGTTCATCTGTAGAAATTCTAGTTCCATGTGTTTTCAAACATCTATTTTGAGGACTGGGGGCGTAGCGCAGTTGGTAGAGTGTCTGCCTAGCATTTTGGAAGCCCTGGGTTTGATCCTGTTTAAACTGGCTTCGTGGTACACATCTGTAACCCCAGCAGTTAGGAGGTAGAGCCAGGAAGATCAGAAATTCAAGGTCATCCTTGGGCTACACGTCACAAACAAATCAACAGCAACAGCAAAAAATCTATTTTGAAAAACTATTTCAAAAACAGGAGTTGGTGTATGCTGCTCTTGCAGAGGGCTTGAGTTCAGTTCCCAGAATCCACGTAGGCAGCTTGCAACCAACTCCAGCTCCAGGGGGATAAAACACAAGCACATTTAGCCTCAGAGGGTACCTGCACTCAACTGTACATACCCACACAAAGATGCACAATTAAAAATAAAGCAAGGGGGCTGGAGAGATGGCTCAGCGGTCAAGAACACTGGCTGCTTTCCAGAGGACTGGGGTTCAATTCCCAGCACCCGCATGGCAGCTTGCAACTGCCTGTATTTTCAGTTCCAGGGGTTCTGACACCCTTACAGAGACACACATGCAGGCACAGCACCAACGCACATAAAATAAAAATAAATAAATAATTAAAAACTAAGCTTTAAGAGAAAGAAAAGCAATCTACTGGTAATACATCAAAGGACCCTTGGTAGAACGATGAGGAAACTATCCCTTGGCTGTGACACTCCCACCTCTTCCTCTGCCTCTAGCGCCATCTTTTTTTTTAAATTATTTTGAATTTTATGTGTATAAGTGTTTGCCTGAATGTATGTCTGTGTACTGCATGCATGCCTGGTGCCCAAGAAGGCCAGAAGAGGACATTGGATCTCCTGGAACTGGAGCCACAGCATTTGTGAGTCCTCTGGAGGAGCAGCCAGTGCTCTCCACCTCTGACCCTGCAGGATGTGCGTCAGGCACTGTCCGTGGTTCTGCCCACCACTCTCCCATCTCTTTTGAGTTTCACACTCAGGTCCTGAGGCTTCCATCCGAATCCCTCAGACTCAACCTACACAGAAGATGGAGCTGAAAGCAGGGAGACAGCCTAGCCTCTCCTGCAGGCCACACAGGTGCCGGCCTGTCCCCGTAGTTATCTCTCTCCTCACTGTGCCTGTCACACACAGCTCCGGCCGCTCGGCACTTGGCCCTGGCATCCAGGCTGGTCCACTCACAGTCAGCCCTGCACAGCTATGGTGGCCGGCCTCCTCAGTGGCCCACCATTGCCCGAGGACACAAGTCAGCTCCCTCAGCCCCTCAGAGGACAAGGGCCTTCTGCCATGACTGGTGGCCTCTGAAATGAAGTCTGCTCTCATCCAGGACTAGTCGGGCCTTTGCTGGACTCTCTCCTTAAACTTGGGATGCCTTTCTTACCCTCTTCTCCTAGGAAAGAGACAGGCTTCCATCCCTGACTAGTTAAATCCCCACTTCTTCACTCCCACTCCACCCCAACAACCCCTCTGCTGGAGCCTCAGCACCCCAGGACCTGTGTCCCCTAACCCTGTGTCCCAATCTACAGCAGAGTTCTGCATCTTGGATCTGCATTCCCAAACCCAGTGCCAGGTCTGCCTTAGGCAGGTAGCTGCTTTGGGTCTGCCCTGTTTGCTTCTAATAATAGATTCTGGGGAGAATCCTATTGGCTACAGCGACTGATGGGCATGGCTTCCTAAAGTCAGCCAATCAGAGACTTTCTTAGGATTTGTCCAAGTGGAGGCTGACTGAAGGAAGGACAGCTGTGTGTCCTTGAAGGAGCAGGAGCCCCACTGTTGGGAGTCACTCTGCCTGACTTACACAGGGCTTATCTGCCGCAGCAGAGGATGAAGCCTGGTGGGGACCGGCAGCCATGAAAATCAGGGTGCACTCAGGTCTCGACAAGCAGCCTCCTTGCAGGTCCCTGTCTTTCTCCACTGGGACCACAGGGTCCTGAGCATTGCTCACTGTTTGGGGATGAAATGGAGAACCCCTAAATCAGAAGCTCAAGGTCGTCTTCAGCTAGATAGGAATTTTAAAGTCGATCTGGCTTTACATGAAGTCCTGTTGAAAGCAAAAAAGAAAAAGGAAAAAGGGAGGAAGGAGACTACCCCACTTTGAGGAGAAAGGTGGGGAGAACCAGAGGAAAGGGAGAGACAGGCTAGCCACTTACATCATTCTCTAGTTGGGGTTAGTCTGGCTGGCTGTCGCCAGGCTGCCCTGAGGTGGTATTGAGTGACATCTTCTTCCCTGGGGCTCTGCAGAGATGGACAGAAACCCATTAGCTAGGGATCCATGGGGCAACCAGACACTCCCAAAGGCGCATAGGAGGGAGACAGTTCCAGAAGAGACAGAGAGACCACCTCCCTCTAGAGCAATGAGTGGCTCTCAACCTTCCTAATGCCGCAACCCTGGAATACAGTTCCTCCTGTTGTGGTGACCAAGCCCCAACCATACAATTATTTTTGTTGTTACTTCATAACTAATTTTTCTACTGTTATGAATTATAATGTAAATATCTGATATGCAGATGGGCTTAGGTGACCCCTGGGAAGGGGTCATTTGACCCTTTTAGGTTGAGAGGTTCTGTTCTAGAGCCTTGTCTCCCTTGGGAGCCATGGGATGAGGAGAGCATTGGCGTTAGTACTACAAGTGTGTTCAAGGTCCCATTCCCTTCTCCACAGCAGGAATCTCTTTGGCCTTCCAGAGAAGTTGGGGCCACCAGAAATGTGTGTGTCCTGTGTGTCTGTTATGTGATGTCCCTACTTGGAGTGGGGAAGAGAGAGGGTGGGGACTTGAACAGTTGACTTTTATCTTGGGGCTTGTCTCATGGCCCCAAGGACTTTACCTTGCTGTGTCTCCAGCACCAAGCACAGCCAACCGGGACCACTACTGGCAGGGAAAGCAATCCTTTCTCCAGCTTCATCTCCATGTCCTCAGGACCAGGGGAGGGATGTGAAATCACAGAAGGTGACGTCCACACAAGGTCATAACTCTAAGGGTTGGAGATTTCTAGGCCTTGGTATAGGTAATTAAAAAAAAAATGGTGTCCCACTTTGGCTAGGGTTGTCCTCAATTTGGATGGCTTGTATGTGGTGGGCAAGCGGTCTGGGCTTAAAGCCTTGGTTCTGTACAGCCGTGGTTTACTGCACTGCAGGCAGATGCCCACCAGGGGAGCTACAGTGGCCGGCTGAGTGTCAGGCCGTGGACTGCCATATCCTAACTCCGCCTCTCACTCCTGCAAGACCTTGGGCAAGGACTTAACTACACCAAGTTTCAGCGGCATCATCTGTCAAATGGGACAGTAATTACCTCCATCACCTGTCACTCATGTAGACAGCTAAGGAACTAAAAGGTGTGGCCTTTCATGCAGGCTTGGTCTAGAGCCAGTACTCAAGGCATAGACATTAGAAGAAGCTAACAGTGCACTATGCGAAACTCACTAAGCTCTCTGAGTCATAGGGAGGCTTGCCATTATAACACCATTGTCCCCACTTTACACAGGAGGAAACGGAGGCTTAGAAGGCTGAAGGAACTTCTTGTCACCTAGCCAGCAAGTGAGAGCCACACTTCTTGTGTGTGTCTGTCCAGGGGGCCCTTTTACTTCTCTGAGGTGCAGCTCACTTTCCCCTTTTTTTTTTTTAGTTTTTCGAGATTGAGTTTCTCGGTGTAGCCCTGACTGTCCTGGAACTTGCTCTGTAGACCAGGCTGGCCTCAGATTCACAGAGATCCGCCTGCCTCTGCCTCCCGAGTGTGGGATTAAAGGCGTGCGCCGCCCCTGCAGTGGCCCAGCTTCCCTCTCTCGTCAGTCTTCTGCCACTTTCTCCCACCCGCGAGCTCTCCGGCCACCGCTGCGGAGGCCAGCTGTCACCTCCAAAGCCCGGCACCCTTACCCCAATTCATTACTGGCACTAGAAACTTCCAGATTGTCACTGACACCTTTGGGCTACCTCGGTTTTGCTCTTCTGCTTTTCTCATGCTGGTCCTTCATGTTGCTCACAGACCTGGCTTGTGCAGGGATCGCAGCATATTCCATTTTCATCCTTCCTCAAGTCCCCAGGAAAATCCGGCCATGCCAGAGAGGTTCCTGTCACCTACCCAGGAAGCTGAAGATTCCTGCCATGCCCGTGTTCCTCTCAAAGTGTAGCTGTGATGGTCTGCTGGGAGCCTTGGGGTCTCCACTAACCTCTCTTGCCTTCTCAGTCAGCTCCCCACCACTTACCCCAGGGTCCCCCCAAAGAAAACCCTCCTCGGGCCTCAGGTTCCTGTTTTCAGGGCCCTGGGCTTTTGTTTATATCTTCCTTAACCTCTCTTTTTCTTGTTCAAATTCCTGTTGTGAATTCCCAGTTTCTGGGACTAAAGAAAGATTTCATCTATCTATCTATCTATCTATCTATCTATCTATCTATCTATCTATCTATCTATCTATCTA